ACCTATTTCTCGGCAACTGCTCATATTACACACCAATTTTCACATACATTGTCTTCGTATGGATTAATGCTACAAGTTTATAGAAATATTTTAAAATATGTAAAGCCTGAATGCGTTGTAAATAGCTCATTTTTACACCTGTTTTCACCTTTATATTGAAATGGCACAAAAAAAACCCCCGAAATTAAAAACATTGACTCCGACTTTTTTTGCGCCTTTTGTAGGGGCATTTGTCTTGATCTATCAGATTTGCAAAAATTAACAATTGCTAGTGAAACAACGTTCCGACTCGTCAAAATTAGAGTTTTTAGCAAAATTGCGTCACAGAAATGAAATGATATGAAATGTTGTTTTATGGCACGTGAGCTCCAACCGGGCTATATTGCGCCAAACATATGGTGAAATGTTGTTTTATGGCACGTGAGCTCCAACCGGGCTATATTGCGCCAAACATATGGTGAATTTTACGAGACAAATTAAAACAATATCACAGAAATGTATTTATATATGTAAATAAAAACAAATATAACAGAAAATATAATTAAAAATGAATTATATCAAAGCTTTTACATATATAATCATTCAAAAAATAATACATGATAAAAAATATACAATTAAAATTTTAAAAAAAAGTTTGTCTCTTTTAAAAAGTTAAGCAGTTTAGAATAAAGACCCGGTTGGGCAAACAATTGATGTAAGGAATGGCAACGGTAATGATTTAATCTAATGTCTTTCAGATGCTTGCACTCAATCAAAATGTGCTTAACTGTCAATGGAACATGACAATGAACACATTCTGGTTGAGGTTCTCGCTTTAAGATGTAAATATGAGTAAAAAATGTATGACCTCTGCGAGAGCGGCACAAAACAACCTCATCTTACCTGTTAGTTCTATAGGAGGTTGGTCAGTCTCCTAGGAGAGGCTTAATGTGATGAAGTTTGTTCATGCCTGCAAGATCCCAAGACCGTTGCCAGTGCCCATATATAAAGAAGTTAATAGATGATTTAAAATCGGAGAAAGGTAAAAGAAATTGTGATATGGGAAGATCTAAATCAGACTTGGCAGCTAAGTCTGCTTGATCATTCCCTTTAATATCAACATGACTGGGGAGCCAGCAAAGGATGGTTTCCTTTGCGTTAAACTCTTGTGATAGTAGCAGAGGATAAATGTCTGCTACTATTGGGTCAATTGGGTGTACAAGCTGCTTATTGTTTATTGCCTGTAAAGTCTAAAGAGGACAAAGAATCAGTGAATACGACTTTTTCTTAAATTAGAAGATGATTGAATGAATTCCAGTGCCTGAAAGATGGCCTGGAGCTCAGCAGTAAATATGGAAGCAGCAGAAATGATTCCAGATGGTGTGACAGTAGCCGAAGCTACCCGATGAGGCGATCACCATCTTTGGAACCATCTGTGTAAATGGGAGCATAATAATCACCATATTTAGACCTTAACTCTCGAAAGAGAGACTGAAACACTGAGAAACTAGTATCTTTCTTTTTGTTTTTCGTTAGATCCAAACTGATCTTTGGAGACGATATACATGTAGTCCATGGTGGAGTACTAATTATAAACAAAGGGGTATTCACAATGCTGATGCCAGCCTCTGACAAAAGGGGTTGGATGCAAATACCGAATGATGGAATAACGTTAGTTTTCAGTAAATACAGATGTTCATGATATGGTCTAAATATGGTATTAAATGATATATGATTAAGCAGAGATGCAATTTTTTGTAGCATACTGCAGCACCAGTTTATCAAGTCTGTCATGCAATGAGAAATTGTGTCGCATCCGGTGCCGATAGCAAACTTTACCTGTAATAAAAAAAATTCAGAATTTGCACAATGGAGCATATGAACTTTTGTTTTATACAAATCGGGCAATAAATAATGAATCTAGAACTGATAAACTGAATTGGCCAATAGCGGCCAAGAAAAATTATCAGACAACCCTTTAACCCTGGGTAAAATGGCATAAAAAAATATTCATTATTAAAAAAGTTTTAAATTTTCAAAATTTGGCGCCTCATATTTCCGAAGATTCGTCAAATATCATAAATCTAAAACACTGTAGCTATGTGCCATGTCTCCAACTATGCCAAAATGTATCAAATATTAAAATCCAACGATTCTTGTTAAAATTACAGCAATATTTTAAAAAACGACAACTTCAGTGATTTCAGACATTTCGCATTGTCGCAGAACGTTCAAAATAGCTTTATCACCCAATAATACATTCTACAGTAGATATCGCTTGTGTGATATATTTCATAATCTACTGCGATATCTCCTTAGGAGATATCGCTTTACATGAATTTGATTGGTCCGTTGAAAAGGAACTACTTTTTTTTATTTTCAAAGAACAGTTCATTTATTATTAAAAGTAACTTTTTTGTTATTAAAAATGAACTATTATTATTCAATTGACCTTGATGGAAACACTGGGTCAATATAAAAGGACTTTGCAATGTTTGAATTGCTGTCAAAAAATGATGTATCACTACGCCTTAATGTTCAGTAAAAGTGAAATCTACAGCAAAGAATTATATTTATCTATTTGTGCATGTAAGAAGGGATTGGGTGATAAATAAAATCTCCTACTCGTCTTTTTTGATATCAAAAAAGACTGGTAGGAGATTCTCTATTTATACTCTAAGTCACACCCACTTTTCCAGTAAAACCGAAGATATAAAATCGATCCGACAAGTAGTGGAAAAAGAAAAATAATAATAAGAACTAGATCTGCTAAGCAGATATTAAAGCTTTCATATTTACAATCACTTCCTGTCACATATATGGGTCATATAAAGAATCTGAACAAGATAAAAAAAATCATTAAAATCGGCACGAAAAAAGTCAAGGGCAAAATTCGAAATTGTGACATTTTCAAATACCATAAATTCGACCCTGATCCCGGCTATCCAGAAATGTATTCATTTTGGAAATAGGAGACGTATTCTTCAAACTCTGGCCTATTGTATTCATTTCCATGTCTGTTATCGTCGGGTTTTCACTTTTTCTCATATTCAGTTCAAAATGGTGACCATCAGTTGACCGATATCAAAATTCTTATTGGATAGATTTTTAGGCATTCCTTCAAGGATTCAGAAAATGTAACTCCCATGTCTGTGAGTAAAATACTGCGAAAGCCTTGTGGATTTTCACGTTTCAAGATGGAGGCACTTTCGGTTCAATCGGCAGACTTCATATTTTGTGTACACATCTGTACTTTCTTAGCTAGAACAGAAAAAAATTTCAAGGCACTCTGACCTATATTTCGTCGATTTTTTTGAAAATTTTGATCCTTAATTTCATCAAGGGGAGATAATTTAGAAAATTTCTAATGACATCTTTCAAGTCGCATCGGTAAGGCCTACTTACATACTAAATTTCATGAAAATCGTGCAACTATTAAAGAAGTTGTCAACTTGGTCTCAACTTCCAGTTCGAAATCACAGCGACAAATTTTTGAAATTCGAAAATTGGAAGTAAATGTTTCAAGGTACTCAAAGAAAAAAGAATTAGTAAAATAGGTCAAACAGTCACAAAGTTACAGCAATGTAGGTCAAATGCATTCGTTCGTAAAATTCAGTGATTTCAGATGAGTAAAATGTTTTGAAAATATATTCATTCCAAAGCCACTACCTATTCTTGGGGGGGAGGGGGGGTACGTCAAAGTTTCAGAAAGTTCCTATGGTTAGATTCTGAGATATGAGATTTGCAGGAAAAGAACAAAAAAAAAAATAATAATAATATTAATCTTAACAGAAACAATAAGCTTTTCACACTTTTTTTAAAAAAAATTATCAAGAAAAAAATAAGACTTTCAATGATGGACACATTATTTTATTATAGATCCTATAAATCTTTGTCAATGATTAATAATAATAGGCCTGTATACTATAGTCTAACAATATGTCAATAAAGTATGTGAAGACTCGGCCCGTACTAAAAACATGCACAGATCTAGAAATATGATAGGGTTTGGTTCAAGTTTTCTCTTTTACGGTATTGGAAAATACCAACCAAATTAAAAAACACCTAGCACGAAGTCGTCGATATCACAAGCCTCCTGTCCACAAACTTGACCTCTCAATGTTGACACAACCTTCACCCTTTATGGCGTTATGGCTTTTGAATATTGGTCGTGTATCAACCTTTGCGCTTAAATGGATATGCAAATAATAAAATTACTCTGTACTCACTTTTTTTACTGGTATTATTTCATTCGGGATAAATATACAGTAGACTTCGACGGACGCGCATACAACGGACTATCGCTTATAACGGACACAACAGTTTGGTCCCGATTTTTGTAATAGACATTTCTTATTTTCAAAGTCTTTTATAGCGGACACTGTATAATGGACAATCATTTATAACGGACAATTTTCATCGGTGCCTAATCGACAAATCAATGTAAAAGTCTATTTCTATAACGGACTCTCGAATAAGCAGAACAAAATGATGATATTACTGATTTTATTATCGGTGACTGGAATACTTTTCCCAGAAAATATCCATATTGTTTTTATGGTAAACATGTGAATACATACATGACTTTTATGTAAATACATGTATGTTCTGTAGATTCTGCATATGATAAATGCTGTTATTTCATGGGATGGTGTTACCTTCTGGTCGCTAATTCAGGGTTGATAGTAGTTTTTTTATATAACGGACACCGTTTATAACGGACGATTTCTTCCGGTCCCGAGGTGTCCGTTATATGCGAAGTCTACTGTATATGTAAAATGGCAAAAAACCTCATATGGTTTTAGACAGATAGTGTCAAAATGAGTCTTGTTTTGGATGGAATCAAAAACCTGAATATTAATATTGGGCACATTCTTCACTCCTTGGGCAGATTGCAATCTTCACTACCTTGCTGCACAAAGTCCACTCTGTCTGTGCAGATTGGACCCTGCGTGCGGAGATTGTATGTCCAAAAATATTTGCTGTAATTATTTTTGTATAATTGAAATAAATACACTTACATTGTATAACAAACAGTTTTATTTATCAAAGTGCAATGTACATTGTAGCTTGTAACGTGTTTCTGAATTCTGGTTAAGTGGACATAAATCTTTAGATTCGAGTATGCCGATGACCCAATTTTTTCAGATTGTAGTCAGGCTGTGAGGCAGCAAAAATTTGGTGAGTTCCCACTAAAATATATTATTGTAAGCAACTCATAATAAATATACCCTTTAAAGATTTTGGTTAAATTGATGGTGGTTTATGGCTTTCAATCATTTGTACATGCTGTCCTGCTAACGCAGTGATCATTATGAATACAGAGTAGGATTAGGCGGATTATTATCGTTCGTTTGTTCGTGGGGTGGACATTCGGATTATCATTGCGGTAATCCCAATACCTTGGACAGAGTTAACTCAGCGCGCAGATTAGTCAACGGAAATTAGACAGAGATTCACGCATGCGGCGCGCGGGGGTAATCTCTTCACGAGGGGCAATCTGCACTCATCATCCTAAAACTTGAATTTGACTGAAAATTTCAATATATTCCCTTTTCATTATCTATTTCTTAACTATAATAGTAAGAACTGTCAGTTCTTTATTAATAAAAAACTTAACTTAAGTTTGCAAGGTAAAACAAAAAAGATCCAATTGTATAGCTAAAAACAAATACATCCAATCCATCCAGATATGTTATTACTTAGCCTACTATTACTAAGCTACTTTTATAATATATAAGCAGTGTACTCTTATAAAACATTAGTTCAGCCCTGAACGTAGGTCTCATTACACTCGGCCTGTAGCCTACATTCAGGAACCGTCCTATTGAATCCTTGTCGAAAAATTTCGTTTGCCAGTCAACTATACTAGTAGGGCTATGAATGCTGTGATGTCATCGTGGCTAATTTTCATCGATGGCGTCAAAAATCAGGACACGCATTACAAAACACTAATTTGTAAGCAAATGTCTGTACTTAAAACTAAAATGATTTATATGGTATGAATCAGAATTGAATTAGCATTTCAATGGTGTTATTTATATTTTGGTACGCTAATTACCTGTCGAGAAATCGTCCGTTGAAAAGCGTATACGGCTTATCGAGGGATTTTCTCGCCGTAAAATTTTGTGGCACACAGATTTTTACGATTTTCGGATTTTGTATGCTATTTTTAGTCGTTTCGTAGCTAATGGTGACACACGGGATATCCAGAATTCTTATCCAATCAAAAAGAGGGAATGCTAAATTTTATAAAACCGCGTGCGCTGAATTTCTAACTCAATTAGGAGCCGAGATAGGTCAAATTGAAGGAATAATTAGCTTTTTAATATTATTTATAAAATAAAATTTTCACACGCGCACTCAGATTTGTGAAGAAGAATATGTTTTCTACAAACTGCAAAAAAAATTATTCTAAAATATTAATAAATAAATAGCTACGACGCTAATATGTGAGTGAGGGGTAGGCGTCAATTCTCGACACAAAATCCAGGGGGCGTGGCCGTGCTACGTAAATCTTCGCGAGATTTTCAAGGACGTATCCACAGAAGAACTTCAAGAAGATTGTGGAACATTATGTAAGTTTTCAAATGTGGAATTCGTCTTAATCTAACTTAATCGTAAAACGATTTTGGAAATTCATTTCTCCACTTTAAAAAACGGTTTCTATTGCGTTATTGCAATGGCATGTTGGTGACATACGTAAACCGGCATGTCTCATTCAAAATTCCGGAGCCGTTATGTAGTCCTATTCATCCAGCTTATGACGTGTATGTCTGTTTACAGTAAAACAGAAATAAAAACGTCTGGATGGTACAGTCTTCTGCTTCATTCAGCAGTGCCAGTAAGTTGTCATTGTTTTGTAATCTAGCTAGTAGGCCTACAATGGCTACATGTTATAATATTTTTTGTCAGTTTTGTTGGTTAATTCAACTAGGCAACTTTTCACTGTAGTAACAGTTGCGTGTCGACAGTCCCTGACTCCCTGTGAACGCCTGTTCAATGTAAAGGCAAAGGTTGAAAGGAACATTTTAGTGAGAAAATAAGACCTTGCTTATCACAAGGACTGACACGCGACCGTTTATCAGTGAAAAGTTGCTCAGTAAAATTGACTGGGAAGCAAAAGTTTTTCAACAAGGATTCAATATAGGACGGTTCCTGAACGTACAGACAGGGCGAAGGCCTACGGCTACACAGTAATTAGTAGTACACCGACGTTCAGAGCTGAACTAATAAAACATTAAATAAACAAATACACTTATTACAATTGTTCCATAAAAGTCTGTAACCTACCAGTAATTTTTAACAGTTTATGAATTAATCAGCATAACTATGTGAAAAGGTAGGAATATTAGGTGAATATGCCGGGTGAATATGTGCAAATTTTCATAATAATCTAACATTCAATTCGACAATTCTTTGCTTTGGATAATACCCTCGTGAAATACGTCACAAATCATGTGTTCGTGACATCATTAAAATATGTGTACACAGATAGAAGGTTGACGGTCTAGACGAGAGGGGAAGTATTCTGTAATGTCGTATAGTTTGTTGAATTTTGTGACATTTTTTCGCATATTTGTGTAAGTATATACCAGATTTATTCGTCTTCATATTTGTTTTACATTTCTCCACTGTCAGGTTCCCTTAATATTCCACGTACAAATATTCCTTCCAGCAAAAATGAACATGTGTGGATATTCTGAAAGTCATTTGTCAAGGAAATTTATCATTGAAATCAATGTCGCATTTGAAGGAAGAGACTTGTGTCTTGTCACCTGTCAAAAATTATGTCATTTCGTGTTCAGAAATTACAGAGCCCAACAGTAACATGGATGGTCAGTTCATCACAGAGACAAAACGTAATTTAAAGATACGTTCCCACGAATCCCAGAAAAGTATTTATCGGGTGGTTATTTCCAATAAAAGTATGGCAATTTTTGTGTTATGGAAAGTAGAAATATCCAGTCTTACTAGAAAAATACTGGATTCCTTGAAAAACACTCATGGAGCGCATACGGGACAAAAATGTAAGGGTTTCCCTAATCGACAGCCCGATGATTAGGAGTGTCTGCACGCGTGACGTCAAAGGTTGCATGCGGAGATTGAGCGCTTGATGTACATGTACATGTTGATAAACTTTATGAAGAGTTAGACATAACACACTTTCTGAGATAAAAATCAACCACAGGCACTTGAAGGGATTAAAATAAAACTTCTTACTACTCTTTGACTATATATTACAGTAATAAGAAGGTGTACTGTATCAGCTGACATTTTGTTTTGACTTGTTGATGACATTTCGTCTGCTATCATCTCACAATACTCATTAGTTCTAACACTTCCCGTAATTTTTATTGCCAACGAAACTTTATTTGATCATTATACACCACCTTCCAATGTAATTAAATTGGTCATTTTACAGCGTTATTAATTACAAATCAAACTTGAAGCCTGATCACTTGGCTATTCGTATCTTAGACGGACCGGAAGTACGACCTATTGAATCCTTGACAAAAAATTTCACTTCCCAGTAAATTTTATCGGGCAACTTTTTACTGCTAAACGGTCGCGTGTCAATCCTTGTGAACGCCTGAACAATGTAAATGAACATCTTAGTGAGAAAATAAGACCTCACTAGAACTAGTATGAGCAACACAACACGCTGTTAAAAAATATGTCCCCGTCTTCTAAACGACTTGACTGATGCCATTGATAGGGTAACGCACAAATTTACGAACTCGGCTATATAAGATGAAACGAAATTTAGGTAAGCCTGGTGGAAAAAAATTTGGTCATAATGGCCAAAACATTTAGTCGTAACGGCCAAACATTTTTAATTTAATGAAAAACAATATATTTAAACAAAATATTGATGTGATGCTACAGTTATATAAACCATGTGTCCTGAAGAATTTGTCAGTGGAAAAATTGCCCATAATAACCCAAGCCAACCCGGAAAATTACATGCTGTAAAGTGTAATTGTAATTCAAATTTAAAGAAAAGAGGTGAGTACTAATTAATCAACAGATTGGTACTTCACACCCTTTGATCTGATTAGGTAATACATGTATATGACATGAGATAAACATTAATCAACTAAAAGTAAAAGAAATGGACATCTCCAATCCATTCAGAGAAAATCCTGAGAACCTAACGCTGTACAGCTTTGTTAGAAAATTTCTAAGTTATTTGTATGGCCGTTACGACCAATTTCTTTGGCCGTTATGACCAATTATTTTGGCCGTTATGGTTTAGGGCCGTTATATAACATAACCCTATCAGTGTAGTCTGGAATAATCAGACGCTAGAGATTGACATTCGATTGAGACTTCTGGTGTATTTTGCCAAACATAACTGATTAGAAATTAGAGTAAAAACAGAAACGATTGAATGTAAATGAGTTTATAATATACATTCATATTACATGTGTTCAACCCATTTGTATCGATTTCTAGGTCCCAAATATTAGCAATTTAGCTCCTTTAATTATGGCTATTAAAAAGTTGCAGTGAGTTTGAAATAACCTCTGGTTAAAGGACCTAAGTCCGTAACTCAAAATCCTCCAAAATCTTCGCCATCGAAAACACGAATTATTGGTCAATTTAAATCAACATTGATGATGTAAACTTACCGGGAAAAGATGAGCCTCTGATATCCGATATTTAAGATAAAATAATTTTTTTAACATTGGTACACGAATCGTGTACCATAATGCACTTCAGCCCCAGTTGTATTGAGAGACTCGAGGGATGAGGCTAGACACATTGCACCAAATCAAATGGAGTTATGTAGACTAGAATAACTAGACGCTAGAAATTTTCACTCGATTGAGATTGCTGACTTATTTCGCCGAACATAACTGATTTGAAATTGGAGTAAAAACGGAAACCATTAAATGTAAATCAGTTTATATACATTCATATTACAGTATTATATGCGTTGCGACCCACTTTTGTGAATTTCTAGGTCCCAAATGTTAGCGATTTAGCTCCTTTAAATAAAATCCATTGTACAACTAAATACCTTAACGAATAAAATGTTCTCTCTTGTAAAATTGAACTTATCGGAATAGATCATTTCGTATAAAGGGGTGGCAGCAAGGCATGTCTGTGTTCAATTTTAAACCAGCGGCTACCAGGCAGGATTCGCCAACATGTATCGGATCGAAACTTCATGGATTATGGCCCCAGTTTGTACGAAAAATCACGTTTTTAGCTTGTGGACCCTATAGAGGTCACAATTTTGATCCGATTTTCTTGAAACTTGAAATGTAAGTTTATAACCCAAAGATCTCAGTTCCTTTCGATATTCGCGCATATCGGACAGTAACTTCCTGAATTATGGCCCCTGATTGTACGAAAAATCACGTTTTTAGCTTGTGGATCCTATAGAAGTCATAATTTTTATCCGATTTAAAAAACCGTTCTATTATATCACCGTTACACCCTAAGGATGACTGAGTTCGAATTTCGTGAAAATCGACCCAAAATTGACAGACAAAATGGCCGCCGTTCGTTCCCAAATAGCGTAAGAATATGGTATATCAAGGTTGTGGACCCTATAGGGGTCACAATTTTTATCCGATATTGTTGAAACTTGAAATGTAAGTTTATAACCCAAAGATCTCGGTTCCTTTCGATATTCGTGCATATCGGACCGTAACTTCCTGAATTATGGCCCCTGATTGTACGAAAAATCACGTTTTTAGCTTGTGGACCCTATAGAAGTCATAATTTTTATCCGATTTAAAAAAACGTTCTATTATATCACCGTTACACCCTAAGGATGACTGAGTTCGAATTTCGTGAAAATCGACCCAGAATTGACAGACAAAATGGCCGTCATTCGTTCCCAAATAACGTAAGAATATGGTATATCAAGGTTGTGGACCCTATAGAGGTCGCAATTGTTATCCGATTTTGTTGAAACTTGAAATTATGACTTCTATAGGGTCCACAAGCTAAAAACGTGATTTTTCGTACAATCAGGGGCCATAATTCAGGAAGTTACGGCCCGATATGCACGAATATCGAAAGGAACCGAGATCTTTGGGTTATAAACATGCATTTCAAGTTACATCAAAATCAGATCAAAATTCTGACCTCTAGAGTGTCCACAACCTTGATATACCATATTTTTACTCTATTTGAGAACGAGGGACGTCCATTTTGTCTGTCAGTTTTGGGCCGATTTTCACGAAATTTGAACTCAACCATCCTTAGGGTGTAACAGGGATATGCTAAAACGTTTTTTTAAATCGGATAAAAATTATGACCTCTATAGGGTCCACTATTTAAAAACGCGATTTTGCGTACGATTAGGGGCCATAATTCAGGAAGTTAAGATCTGATATGCCCGAATATTGAAAGGAATCGATATCTTTGGGTTATAAACTTACATTTCAAGTTTCAACAAAATCGGATAAAAATTGTGACCTCTATAGGGTCCACAAGCTAAAAATGTGATTTTTTGTACAATCGGGGGCCATAATCCATGAAGTTTCGGTCCGATACATGCCAATATCGAAGGCAACCGAGATCTTTTGGAGCTAAACCTATATTTCAAGTTTCGTCAAAATCTGATAAGAATTGTGACCTGTAGAGTGTCCACAAACAATTGTGGATGGACGGACAGGGGCGAAAATGTGGGTGTATAAAAAAACGTTATCAGTTGAGTCTGAATTTCGTAAAAATCCGACTGAAACTGCCGGACAAAAAAGCCACTTCTTGTACACAAATAGTGTAAAAGTATGTAATACCAACTTGGTTGTGGACCCTCTAGAAGTCAAAATTTTGATCCGATTTTGATGAAACTTGAAATGTATGTTTATGACCCAAAGATCTTGATTCCTGTCTATATTAGTGCATTTGGGCTATTCCACGCTACAGTATACATTTAGGTGAAAAATTTAATTAGTCGATAAGTGGACAAAAATAGTGTCTTATGGTGGGAAATAATCCATATTTTGAAGAAAAATCTCAATTTGGGTGGAAACTCTTCCGATTTTTTTTTTATTTGGTCTTGTGTCAAGGTTTACGTTGTAAATGTCAAATTTATAATTTTATTGTATTTTCTTACATTGTGTTTGTTTGATTATTCTGACTCATAATTAATGATCTGGCATTAGTTATCTGACAAAGTATATAAACATAATATTTAAACATTAAAATATAAAAATAATATATTTTTGTGAAGGTAACCAACATTGAAAAATATCACTATGAGAATGTACGTCGGTTACCAAATATTTACATTTGTTTCTCTCTCATTCATATTTTTATATAGAATTATTTAAAACTTCATGTCTAAAGCTAGAATAACCCATTCTTACTATAATGACCGTAAAAAGAAAAGATTTGCAAAAATTCTCAGAATAACTTGGGTTTTCATAGATGTACGTCCGTTACTTTTCACAGTATTTTCTGTTACCAAATATTTCCATTTTATCTCTATCATTCATATTTATTTACGGAACTGTTCAAAAACTCATATTTAAAGCTTACATGTACATCACCCATTCTTGTTACTATGACCATAAAAAGAAATCATTTGCCAAAATTCTCTGAATTACTTAGAGTT